AACACCATGGCCTATATCCCTCAGTAACCCCCTTGCGTCTCTCCTCTCAGTCCAGCTGCTCAAGTTTCCTTTTCCATCGCCCTAATCAGGGTCAAATACCTTCTGGATTGGTATTTTTTTCATTTTCTCTTTCTTTTTTCCCCTGGGGTTCCTGTTCCTCCTCCTCAGTCTGATTGTAAAATACTTAGGTACAGAACTCGAGTTCTGAACTAGAACTCTAATAGAAGACAAACATAGAACAACTTTTTGGTAATTGCACTCATCTTTTATGGTGGACAGTAGTAACTATCTTAACACATGTGATCTGATCCGGTGTCAGAAATGCGAGCGTGTAGGACAGTTGCAAGCAGATTAATAGCAACCATGTTCGCAAATCACATAATCTCCATTATTTCCATTTGCCAAGCTCAATGCAGTTAAAGGAAACAGAAATGGCTGACAACAGTTCCAAGCATCAGGGACAGATCGGGGTACGAATCATACAGAAAAAGAATTATGACCAGATCTAAATGTCTAAAGAGCAATCCCATCCCCGACTCTATCTAATTCATACACAGACAAAAGAAAAGGACAGAAAGTTACACTTTTCTCCACCGTGACCATTGGGTCTGTTCAGTGATGGATCTTCCGGCGAATTTGGTCTCGAAGTACGACCTGGTCGACCGTGGCCGGCGCGTCTTGATGATGGCGCCTCAACAGGCTGGAGAAAGGAAGAGAAATTGGTGGGTAGTCATAGGGCGGGCGTAAGAAAACACTAGATGTTGTGGAAGAAGACGGAAGGTAGCAGCTTTCGCTTCAAATCGTTGACATAAGGGTATGCGGAAGGTACGGAGGGCCAAAAGTGGGCATTTACTCCCGAGAGACGTCACGTCCAAAGAGCTTGGCCTTGAGCCAGTCGGCAGCGACCAGGATACGGTTGCGTGCTATTGAAGTCGTTAGAAACGGAAAGGGAAAACGAACGATATTGTAACTGGTAGAATGAAGTAGGCACTTACTGCTGAAGCACATGCTCAGGTAGGCACTGCGCCAGAAGAGGTAGGTGACTGTTCCACCACTCGCGATGTTGCCGCTCAGCCAGCTGATGTCTGCAACTGCACGCTCCTTTCCAATATAAGCCAGACTTCCCTGGTGAGAGTATTGGAAGGGGCCAATCTGCTTGGTTCTCCGCAACTGCTTCTGACGCTCACGGATCTCGTCGAAGATCTTATTGCGCTCCTCCTCGTTCTTGGCCTGAGCCTGAGCCTCGGAGAGCTTTTTCAACTCCTTTTCGATAGCCTCAGTCTTGGCCATGGTGTTGAAAAGACGGGCAAGGAAAGCGCCTTCCTGACTGGCAACCTGGGCAGTGGGGGCATAGTTGGTAATGGCGCAGTCACCGACCGCCCAGACGTTCTCAGCGCCGTTGACAACCAGGTACTCGTTCACCGCCAGACCACGGCGCGAGTTCTTCTGAGCAGGGATCTGATTCATCAGATCCCGGACAACATTACGGACAGCGTTACCAGTGGCCCAAACCAGCAGGCCATAGGGAATAGTCTCCAATTCCTTGGTTCCATCGGGCTTGGTCACCTCGGCCTCGATGTACTTGTCGGTAACGTTCTTGACCATAGTCTTAGTGCGGATGGTAATGGCTTCTTCCTTGAAGGTCGATTCCGTGTAGTCGATCAGTTGCTTGGAGAACATGGGAAGGACGTTGGGCAAAGCCTCGACGAGGGTAACGTGAAAGTTATCCTTGATTTCAGGAATCCACTTTTTCAGGTCCTCATTAAAGAAGTCCTGGAGCTCACCAGCGAATTCAACACCGGTGGGGCCACCACCAACGACGACCATGTGCAAAAGTCGCTTGACTTCCTCCTCAGGCTGATCCTTGAACATAGCGGTCTCGACGCAGTCCATGATGCGCTTGCGAATCTTCTGTGCGTCGCCAACTTCCTTCAGGAAGCAGGAGTGCTCCTTGACACCCTTGATACCTGTAATTGGACCGTTAACTATGCTTTTCGAATCGAATTCTACTGTAAAGGTCGCTACTCACCGAAAGTAGCGTTTTCGGCACCGACACCGACAACGAGCATGTCGAAAGGCACCTCCGTGTGAGAGATGTCACCCTTGATCTCAGAATCGTCACTGATGTAGACAACGCGTTTCTCGTAGTCGATCTTGGTAGCTTCGGCTTCGTAGAACTTCACGTGGGCCTTCTTTTGGCGGAGAATGTTACGAATTGGCTCCATGATCGAGCGGTGCTCGACTTGACCGGTAGTGCAAGAGGGAAGGAGGGGAGTAAAGAGGAAGTAGTTTCGAGGAGAGATGACGACGACATTGTAGTTCTCAGTATCAAGTTTCTTCAGCAGAGAAACTGAACCCCATCCCGTACCTGCAGTTGCGATCACCGGGTTAGTGGTTTCACGATGGTTGTCAGGTTACGTTCGCGACGCGACCCATTGGCGGCAGACAAGGTAAGGAGCCTAACATACCGAGGATGACAAGGGTCTTCTTAGTCGGGTCGGGATCGATCTGTTCAATGGGATGGCGCTGTTCATAGATGCTGTAAACGAGGGCGCCAGTGAGACCGACACCGGAGAGCCAGGTGAGACGCCAGGCCCAACGCAGGAATCTGAAGCGCTTTTTGGGCTTGGGGGCAGGAGCCGCATCGGCGTAGGAGCGACGGAAGGCGCGCTGGACAGACCGCTGCGAGGAAGTACCGGGTCTTAGAGGGTGTGACAACCGGAGAGCGAGGGCTGGCGATCGCGTCGAAAGCGACCTGCGCGACAGCGACGACAACTGCATGACAGAGCGGGAAGCCATGTTGGAGCGGATCACCATGGAACTTCCAACCATTGAAGGTCTTGATCGCACCTAGGCGAAGGGGGAAGGAAAGGAGGGGAGAGCAGAGTGAAAACCCACAAAAGGGAATCCAGTCAACAGTGGATGTTGATGATGAATTTCTGATAATCACGACAGAAAGAAAAGGAAAAGAAGAGGGACGGAGAAAAAAAGAAAATTAAAATTCAAAAAATAAAAATGGGCAAATGCCGATCTGAGAAAGCCTGAGGCGATCAATCTCAGGAATGACAGGATAAGCTGTTAAGCTGTTTTGGGCGAATCGGTGTGTCCCAGCGCCTGCAGAACTTCACCTTAATACTTCACGTTCGAGTCACTCGCTTTTTTGTTCAGGTTCTTGTTCGGGAGCTCCGGTGGAGCTGTTCGACTTCTTTTGCCGCTCTATCTTTTTTCCTCTGGAGACTGGCCGTGGTTAAATGTGGGTTGATTCCGGGTCCAAACGGGTCAAGGAGAGGAATCTAGCGTTCTGATGGGCCCGAGAAACAAGGCTACTCTGGTTTCTGGGTCCTCCCTACCGACGCCTTCGAATTGGAGTCGTGAGGAGAAACTCGCAGAGAATTTTTTCCCTTGTGAGGAGAAGATAAGCGTCGAATGCAATACCGTGAGGGGGTAATCGGCGTGCGATATAAGCTCTGTCTTCAAGGTTACAACAATGACGATGCTCTTGTTCATGATTGTCGAGCAAAATAGTACAATACTACTATTACCTACATATCAGTACATGCGCATATAAATAGCAGCACGATGCGATTCTAGAATGGTACTTGGAAAGCTGTTGTTTTATCTCTCCGACTGATATCATATCTACATTTTACTATTTCCCAATAGGCTAAATCGGCAAAATTGTTCGCCTACTGCTCAATTCTTACCTCGATAGAGAAAGTAGCCTCTGGCTATATTCGATAATCAATATATCAAAGCAATTCCTTCATTTTTACAACAGTCTGTCCACCATCACAATGATGACGTCGGGTCACAAAAGTTGACCCTCACCAGCTCCTGCGGGCTTATTCCCTGCCCTATGGTCCTCCCGGAATACCTACCGGGATCACCCGCAGTCCATACGAGCCTAGGTAATCAGCCCTGGATCCATGTCTGGCAGTCCTGCACTCCACTGTCATGCTAGAAATAGGTAGTTATCTAGTTCTGGGTGACCAGCAACGATGACAGTCCGGGGAATGCAAGCTCCACTCAATTCTCGTCCCTCCGTTTCTTCCCTCTCGTCTCCATTGAACCCTTGACTGTGAGATCGTCAGATGACAAACAAGTGGTCGAAGCTCCCGTGTCTCGCGGACGAACGGGCTGCGTGCCAACTCGTCGTGAGCTACCTTAGTGTCAGTGTCAGCAGAATAGAGAATCACTGCGAGATGCCACGGCCATTGAGAAAGCGCATATCTATCGAGCTTTCTTGTTGGATTTACTGGGAACAGCGATAGTGGCCGGCTGAACCTGGTCGGAAATTTTAATAAAGATCCCAGGTTCGTCCATAGAAATGACACAGATCCATAGATAAATGCAGTGAATCATTAATCAGACGTTCAGCTACCTTGGAAGAATTGGCAATTCGGAACCCAGTAGGGCAAGTAGCTTTCAGCCACAGGCATTATTAGATTGCTTCAAGTCACTAAACCATTAGCACTTGACAAGCAGATAGTCAGCGTAATAGTTATACGGCTGTGTTGCGTAAAAGGATCTCCAGCCGTAAAATTTCCCGCTCAAGTACGGGCATACGAGGAAATTTAGCACTTCAGTCATGGAGACATAGGACTATGCACGGCTAGGTTTCAAGATCGGACAGTTGTATGATTGTCAAATGCCCAGTTTAACGTGGACAGACCCTGTCAAAGAAGCTAACGAACGCCTAAGTATGCACATGCAAGGTTTGGTGGTAACAGTGTAGGATCACAGATCAAAGACAGCAATGGAGATGGAACGTAACACCGGTGTCATGCGTCTCCCAGAAAGCCACCAGAGCTCACGAAATTCCGCCTCAACACCCGATATGGACAATGGTAATGAGCATTGTAATCCATCTATGATGCTAAACGCCGTGGTAATGCAAGTCGTCAAAAATGTAAAGGTATTGTACAAAATACAGCTTTGGGTAAGAAGCAAAAGGCATCCTGCTCATGTCAATGGTCGTGAAATATCGTGAAAGGCCATGTTCAACTCGAGTAGTTTGGAGTTGATTGAAAATTCGGCTGGATGAAGGGCCCTTGCGGCCATGCTTCGTGATGAAGATAGGGCAACACGCCTGTTTTACGCTCCGCGGCTGTCTTCCCAAGCGGCTGGTAGTGCATGTGGTCAAAGGGAACGCTGCGCTGCTGCTGGAGAGATGTTGACGGGGGTGGAATTAGCAGGGTGTTGACAGCTCGGACTGGTCGGTAAGGCGAATTCCGGTTTGCCAGAAAGAAAGAGGGTGACAAATGTGTTTGAGGTGTGTGTACAGAGTAGGCCGACACCGCTGGTGAGACTGTGGCCGACGACATCCCGTAGGGACTCGCGTGATATCTTCCAGGATCGGGTAGCGAGATTGGGGTATGGTAAATGCCATTCATAATGGGCGGCACAGTGGTCACAAGTGGGACCGATGGCGCCCAGGTCGTGGACGAACTGTACGTAGTCGGAGGTATAGCGCGACCGGCAGTAGAGGGTTGTTGGGGCGTGGTTGCGGGAACGCTTGGAACCAGTGTGTGTGATGAAACAGGGAGGTTGGGACGTGGCAGGTGGGGAATAGGTCCAGGAATGAAAGTTTGGTGTGATGAAGGAGCAGACGTGGGTGTGACAACCTGTGGCAGGGCCGGGAGGCTTGTCATGGCGGAAGTCGGTGGTAGGGTAGAAGCTGGTGGAATAATCTGGGGCACGGCGACTCTCTTTGCGGGATGCTCATCGACTTGTTCGTCCCGAGTCCGTTTGCGAGGGTTGGCGAGCTGAATATCACTACCAAGCTGAGGAAGAGTAGTATAAGTATTGCAGGGTTGATTCCACGCTGCCTGCGGGCGAACAGGATCAGATGCTGGTGGAGATGGTAACTTGGACGGAGTCGACGACGAAAGTTGGGGTGTTGCTCGAAGGCTAGGAGATATGCGCAATACAGGAGTCGTAGGGCTCAAGTCGACCTCATCTGGGATCACAACTGCTCTGTTGAAGAAGTCTGAGAAAACCCCCAGTTTGGTGTGCCATTGAGCCCATTCCTCCTCTGATGCGTAGAGATTGTACCGCACATTGCTGAGGAACTCGACTTCCATCACATGGATTTCTTGGACTGGGATACCGGAAACCTCGGCCCACGTCTTGTTCGTATATGTGTTGTCATCGAGAACTGGAAAACGAGTCAGCTTTCGTTTACAAGCTTTACGGATGGACAAGTACTGACATTTGTTTCCAAGCATCAGGGCAATGGTCATCAACCGAAACTCACTGCCTTTCTTTCCCCGCACCGCAGGATTGAACTTCTTCAATCGGTAGATAAACATGAGTGCCAGTAAGATCACATTCTGGCTAACCTGCGTCGTCGATAGAATGTTCGTTACCCACTTCTTGAATCCAGGAGAAGGAAACGCCTCCGGAACAAGAGAAGGCAGCGTATTCACGCGATTCTCGATGGTCTTCAACTTTGATGTGCTTTCGAACCAGAACAAACAAGTCATCTGCAAGAGGATAAAGTCAGTCAACCGAGTCCCAAGCACCGAGCAGTTCTGATGCTTACCTGCGCAGCGAATTCAGACAGGCTGCCCTTGCTATCATTGATCGAGCATGGAATTTGCAGGTAAGACGCCGCCGAACTGGTGTTGGCCTTCTTCTGGTTTGCTGGCACGGATGCTGGGATATTGTGGGTAGATTGAGGTTGACTCTGCGCTTTGATTGAAGGTATCATTGTGGAAGAAGAGTCGTAGCCKGTGCGAGTATAAGCGGACGCTCTAACATAGGGGGGAAGTGTGATTGCATCATGTTTGACCCCATAGCTGGACGGTGGGAGAGACTTGTAGGCTACCCCCGTCATGTCGTTTGGAGGAGTTGGCAGACCGTCCCTGAAAGGAGCAGTCCAGCGATTCTCAGAGACTTCCGAAGCAGTCTCCGGATATTGTCTGAACGTTGATGCCGAACTTTCCTCGTACGGATGGTGTTGCGTAGTGGGGGTTATCGGAGCCGGGGCGGAGGGAAAGTACTGCGGAGTGTATATAATCGGAGGCATATGGCACGAGATGGCGAGTGCGGATCGAACAAGAAGATTGCGAAAGAAGCTCTGCAGGACACGCTTGTCATGAGAGTCTCATTCCACCTCTCTGAATATCTCGTGCTGTTCGACTTTGCTCAGAATCAGATTTCACAATGTCACTGGACGCAACACTAGCTCCAATGAGCTGGAAGATATAGGAATTGGATCGCCAGCTCTCCAGGGGATCCAAAGGATAGTTAAAAGAGTTGTTGATTTCTATTCGAGTTGGTATAATAAGAAGTTGCTGAGTACTTTGTAGATAGGAGGACGACAACGGATCTGGTGAATGTTGACCATGCCTTGCCAATGGAATGAAGGCACAGAAGGGGGTAAGGTAACTTGAAGAAAGGCCGATCCAGAGTAGGCAAGAAAACACCACAACAAAGGTCTAGAGTAAAGCAGTCATATAAGACTCAGCATGAGAAATGTAAGTGCCAGGAGGAAGTTGCCAGTCCGCCCAAGTTATAGAAAAGGAAATATGTCCAAGGAGATATAGATGTCGACGCAAGTATAAGGCTAATGAATGAAAGTCTAAAGGGACAATGAAGTAGAACAGATTGGAAATTAAAGATCAAAAAAGTGAATATTAATGTGTTTTTTAAAAAAAGGAAAAAAAAAAAATTAAAGTAATTAGAAAAGCCTTGATCCTTCTATGGAACCAAGCCGTGTAAGAAGAAAATAATCATCATGAAAAAACCGAAATTATTGGAAATGAAAATGAAGAGCAGTAGGTGAGGTAGTGAGGGTGAAAAAAAAGGTAATAATTGAAGGAATGAGATCAAGACATCATCCCTCATCCAGCTAAATCTTCATATCACGGCACCACTACTTACTCCGCTCGAAGAGCCAGGGTCGGTTAGTCCTCGTCCGGAGAAGGTGGTGTGTCCGCTGTGTCCACAGTCCAAGAGTGTCCATACAGGACAGACAGACTTTGACCTGGACGCAGGTCCAGAGGGTTGATCCTCCTTCTTTGGACTCGTTTGGGTCGGTTCCGGTTTGGTCATAGTTGATCCAGGTCCATTTGTTTCTGCTTTGTCTTGGGAGGAAGAAAAGTGAAATACCGGTTGATGTCAGAGCCACGGGGAAGCAAGTGGATGCATTACTACTACTATTACTGCTGCTACTAGTATCTACTACCGAGTAGTGGAATGGTAACCAAAAGTCAGCAGCCCCTAGACCATAATAGTCTTGAAACCTAGGAGGGAGGGATTGGCAAAATTCATACTCCATAGTTACTTCGTATTATTATTATTAGTCAGGCAAGGTCTGAGAGTGAAAGGAAAGAAAAGAGGGGGTGGAATCTAGACGAGGATGAACAGTTGGAAAACCAGGTAACTTACAACTTCTTATCTAGGCATGTATTCCATACTTGCGCTATTGCTGACTTTGTAGGACCCATATCATATCCAATAATAAGTTTGGTTTAGCGTCACTTTTGCAACCATCATTATGTGCCGCCTGACCCAAAAATAAAATAAAATAAAATAAAATAAAATAAAATAAAATAAAAAAAGGGAAGAAAGGATAATGCATCAGAAAAAAAAGAAAAAGAGAGGAAGAAAGCTAAAGGAGAAGGGGTGCCATTGCTCAACAAGCCCGGAGGCACGGGAGAAGTACTTACTGTAAGTAAACGAAGGGAGGTTTGTGCACTACGACAAATACTGTACTTTACTATATGGTTGATCGCTAGGTAGTTTTTAGCCCAACCAAGGCGGAAGCAAAAAAGGAATGAGTAAATTAGGTAAGGTAGGTCATTTCCGTAAGTACTCCGGACGGTTTACGGAAATACTCTGTAATGATCATACAAACCTGGTTTGGGAAGTTCACTGGCATGGGCAGAAGAGGGGATGGAACTATGGATAACGTCGACCCAGGCTTCGTAATTGGTCCGTAAGTGTGGCTTCCAAGGTTACTATGGCAGCTGTGGACTGTGACCAGACTAAAAGTCACGGTAGGGTAGGCCAGAAGATAGGCAGCCAGCAAGGTGGGCTGGCGGCTTAGTACAAAATGTTTGAGTATGGCAAGGGTTGGTTGAGCCTGTACCTCAGCCTGGGGCGGTATGGATGAGTCGGATTGTCATGGACGGCTCAGGTGAAAAATGCATGCGTAAGGTAGCCAGGTATCATCCTGTATGGTCATGTATCAGAAGCGAACCAATTCGGGCAGCCTGGTATGAATGGCGACCGACAGTTGGATAATCCGGCTCTGACTAACTGCAAATAGACAGGGCAAACGGCGCTAACGGAGAACAGATGAAGGGCAATACCATACTTGTACAGATTTCTCTGTACTACTGTATCACAGGGAGGAAAGCATGAGGGTGGAAGTAATGTGAGGCTTAGCAGATCCCAACATTTGTGAACCCACTTGCAGCTCAAAATACAATCAGAGTCAGAAGATCATAAAATAAAATAATAATAATAAAATAAATTGAAGAATGGCTTCAGCCAGGTATGGTCCCTCCACATTGGTTGTCTAAGAATGAGGAGCCAGAGCAACGTTGGATGTTTTGCCGCGTATCGAAACTGGCTGGACCTTTKGATGTAAGGCAGGCAGCTCCGATAATCATTGGATGGACAAGTGCACAAAAGGACCCAGAAATTCGTAGGTAGTGACGAGCCTATTGGCGGTGGAGGACCGAAAAAGTTGCTCCAAAGAAGATTAGTCCAATGGCTGCGTGTAAACTCTGCTCTCAGCCATCAGGTCCAGTCTTTCTGCTTCCATTCAAGAGACTAGCCGGAGAAGATAGCTCGGCAACTTCTGGGCAGGAAGCAAGCAGCAGAAACAGTAGTGGTACGCTTTGCCCCTTCAGTCCAAAGTACATACATACAGGTTGTAACCGAACCGACCAGGCTGACCTGCTACCATACTAGGCTCTTTGTACTCCGTACCGACTACTGGATAAATAATAACCTGCATTATTGTGATGGACAGAAGGTGCCGCTCAGCCTGCCCGCGGCCTCCAGGATGGTAATTTACCGCTTAAGTCGAAGCTGATGGTTACCTAGATGATCAATAATGTATCCTTTATCCACAATTTCTTTGCAACTCTGCTCTCCCTGTCTTCTGTCTTCTGATAGTGTTCCGTGTTTAGTCCGAACCACGAAAATGGGATTGCCATGAGCGAATCAAACACCTTCAAATTCTACACTTTTCTGCGGAGACACAGATTCTTTGCACATCCCAAATTGACCATTGATTATCGGGGATTTCCGCGGCTATGATGATATTCGACGCTGACGCGATCGCCGGTTTTGAAGAGATAGGTTTTGTGGTATTACCAGTTTCCACTACTAGATCAGCTGGCGGAAGCAAATAGATGATAGAAAACTCCGTCTAAGCCAAGGATCCATCCTGACAGACATCGACGAGCTGAGTCGCTGGCTCCCTGTGGCTGTTGTTCCTTTCAGGAATCACATTCATCCTTGTTAGTTGTTACGGTGGAGTCGCGTTATCGTTATTAAACCTATCCAAGACAGTCGAGAAGAAAAGGAAGTGGAAGGCGAATGAACCCATTTCCATGGTTTGAGGTGGTGATTGTGATCATACACTTGCGCGGCCTTCAGCAGGCAGTAATATTGAAAATCGTAATGCTTGCCAACCCAACAACAGAGAATCGACCTATCGCCATTCCAAAGACCCTAGCTAGCATGGGTAACGGCGCGCAACATTGTTGATAGATAGTGCTACAAGTATGTACCATTTACTCCTGAGCAGGACTCAGGAGAATGCATGTGAGCAGGAGCCCCATCACTTCTGCTTCTTCGATACCTTCATTGCGAGATGTCATTCCGTGCTGGCCAGCTTCTGTAAGCTCAGCAATTATGTAGGGACACGAAAACAACGTTCTACATGTTATTCTTCTCCCGCGGACCATCTTCTCTTTTGATCAAAGCAACCCAACAGATCCTATCCAATCGTCCCAATCCACCGATTCCTACCTTGATTGGCGCAAATCCGGCGACAATCAAGGATAGAGTGACGGACTAGGCTCAGGTGGTTTGACTTTGCAACCCCAGCTGAATTCTGATTACTATGCCGATGATGGCGTTCAGCGATCAAGGACAGTACTTCCCTCGCTCGCGACTCGCGAGGCGCGGTCCAGGACGGGAGAGAAAGTGTCTTTGAAAGGCTGACAGTCAATCAATAATCGAATGGGTAAGATGGTGCGTAAATAGCCCACATGGGCATACAAGTGGAGGAGTGCCGCATCAATCTTCGTTCTCGTTGCCTTTTTCGTCTCGCCCCAGATCATGGGTCATGACTTGATATAATGGTATCGTCAACTGGCTTAGCGTGATGCCTACGTATCTTTTGAGGGACAAGTTCGGTCGTTTCGATCGGAGTGGTTATCTCCGCCAACGTCTAGTCCATTGCCTCCAAAAACTCCTAACTCCTAAGAGAGGGGCTGAGAGATGTGACGGCGCTCAGGGGCCTCGGGGCTTCATGTAGGCGCATGGAGTAAAATGTAATGTACGAAGTACGGAGCATCTCTCGGAATACTGTACACTTGTTGGCTGATAGTTCAGTTCAATAATCGATAATAGAAGACGCGGTATGGTGCAGATCTTATGCATATAGGACAGTCAGCCCGAGAGTAATACGGAGTACTCATAATATCATGTTATGCCCGCATGCGACGCCTCTAATTCGTCCAATACTCCAGAAGCGGCTAGCCGTCTTTGAGATCGAGGTCTATCTACGGACTCGGCATTAAATACGGAATACAGAGTCCTTCCAGCTTATTCCAAACTGACGACTCTGGCAGTATACGAGCAAGAGGGAATACGTTGGGAGAACTTAGGTTGTGTTTTGGAACAGCCGGTCAGCCACAGAATGATATTTTAGGCTTACTAGCTCTTGTCTCAGTTCATCAAGTTACGGAGCACGAAATAGATAGGTACTACGGAGCATGGATGATTGATATTTATGAACCCTACCTAGTTTGTAGCGGAGGTAATACTTTACCTGAGGGA